CTCAGCTTGTGATTCATTTGTAACAGCCTTGGAACCACTTCGTTAGTCGACTCCGTGCCTCTCCTGTCTCAGGCTTTTATTTCCTGTGGAGAAAGGCAGCCAAGGACCCAAGAGGCAAAAATGACAACAACAGCAAAGATCAGCCGATGTTACTGAGCAAGACAGAAGTCAACAGCCCCAAGAGAAAAATGCAACAACCACAGAGTACAACCTTCCAACAATACTTCTTTCTGTGTGCACACATCAACATCGCCCTCTGCTGCCAGCCACCGGCATTACCACGTCTCGCGGGCCGAAGGCCGGTGGAAGGCTGACCCGGTCCCACTTCTGGGGTATCACAATGCCTGCAGCAAGGTACTCCTCACTGGACAGTCTTGATTGGGACGACTTTGCACAGAACAAAGGATACCCCTTGGAGTGATGCAAAGCAGTGGCCTTTCCCCTTGTTATGGGCAAAGAGATTTAAAATACTGATCCTGAAAATTAGAACCACAATGCTCATCAGTGAGGTCAATGCCCCTCTGAGCAGGGCTATGGGGCAGGGATCTGCAAAGGGCAATGATTTTTCTTTCCTTTTTTTTCTTCAAGGAGGGTAGAGTAGAGGGTCTCCATGGCTCTGACCAGGCATCTTCCAAATCCCACAGCTGAGAGCATACTGAGATCTGACAGGTGAATTCAAGTGCATGGCGCCACCCTTCCCGCTCACGAGGCTGCCGGAAGTGACTCTGGAAGCCTGTGTGGGACAAGGGAGGAACTCAGGGCTCCAGGGACTGCCCTGCCCCTCCCCCCCCTCATATTCTCTCTGCTCCCAGGTACCCTGTGCACCATCTGAAGGCAGGTGCCTGGTGATGCTTCATGAACTGGAATGAGGAGGGGACCGCCGGCTCTGCAGCCACGTTACAGCCTGAGCCCCAAGTGGGCAGTGGGTCTCAAGATCCCCGGGGGCGGGGAGTGAAGCCAGTCTGACCCTGGAGGACTGACTCCCTCCGTGTCCTCACCTAGGACTGTGACCTGTTATACCAAACTGCACCTGTGGCTGTGCCTTCCTGCCCCAAACAGCCCCAGTCCCGAAGGGGTCTGTGAATCCAAGTGTCCTCCCTGGGGGCCTTCAGGCAGGCCCAATCTTCAGTCTCCATTATCAGCGGGAGGATCACCTCAGCCTTAAACTTCTCTCCACACAGGATGCCTGCGTGGCTCAGTCGGTTAAGCATCTGATGCTTGATTTTGGCTCAGATCATGACCTCACAGTTCATGGGGCTCGGCACTGACAGTGTGGAGCCTGCTTGGGATTCTCTCTCTTTCCCCCTCTCTCTCTCTCTACCCCTCCCTCACTCACATGTGCTCTCTTTCTCAAAATAAATAAATAAAACTTTTAAAAAATTTAATGTTTATTTATTTTTGAGAAAGAGAGAGACATAGTGTCAGCAGGGAAAGGAGAGAGTGAGAAGGGAGACACAGAATCTGAAGCAGGCTCCAGGCTCTGAGCCGTCAGCACAGAGCCCCACACAGGGCTCGAACTCATGAGCTGTGAGATCATGACCTGAGCCAGAATGAACTGTGAGATCATGACCTGAGCCAAAGTTGATCACTTAACCGACTGAGCCATGCAGGAGCCCTGAATAAATAAAACTTAAAAAAAAATTCTCCCCACACAGCAGTTTATCACAGAATGAATGCCCTGGACTCAGCACTGAACCCATGGCCGCTCCCCTACTTCACAAGAGGATTCAGCCCTGAGGGTGGGTCACTTTAGAAGCAAGGCAATCCTGTGGAACAAGGACAGCAACTGTGACTGAACCATGGGCCTCCAGGACCCACAGGACATCACGTGAGGGACAGAAGAAACTGGCCACCAAATATGCCGTAAATTCGCCATCTGACCAAACCCAGTGATGGCCTGTGGGCAAGGCCAGGCGCTAATGCCGGGGACAGAAAAATAATAAATACCTAATAAGCCTTTCCTCAGGCCAACAGGAAAGATCAAATAGGTGCAGGAAGAGTGAGCCAAACGAGGCATCTCAGGGTGCCCACCCGCTGGAGAGCTGGACACGGCCATGGAAGGATGGGGAGACCTGGAGAGGACAGACATCATCCCTGGAGCATAAAATAGCCTGGGTCGGGGCCTGCCTGGGAGAGGGGGCACCCTGCTGGGGGCACTGAAGCCCCAAGAGAGTGGTGAGGTAGGACTAGAAGGGAGGCAGGGTACAGGGTGGAAGGCTTTGATAGCACAACGCGTCTGGAATATTCTGCGGGCAGAGGGGGCCATGCCGAAGGAGCTGGGGGTCGGGGTCAGCGGTGAGGCTGGATGCTGGTCTGGCGGGGGTGGGGGGGAGGCACTTGGGCTAGCGGAGGGGGGAGGTGAGCTACGAGGTTACTGCTGAACAATGCCCTGGAAGGGTCCAAATGAGGGCCATTGCATGGGGAGGCTGCAGAGGCAAGATGTCAGGCACTGGTCTGGGCCAGTAACTGTCATTGTTGTTTCTGGTCATGGGCTTATGACTCAGAGGCCTGTGCTATTCCTCCCCTAGCCTGCGCCCCAGCCCCTTCCGGGTCTAAAGGGACCCTCTTTCCCTATCACTACTTCTCCCAAACCCAAACCTGAGCTGCTACCACTTCCCTTTCCCAAACCTAGAGCCAGCCAGTCAAGGTCAAGGTCCAAACCCCAGTCAGGGGCTCAAAGGAGCTTCTCTGGTGACAGAGGACTGTGGCGTGATCCTAATGGGTGTTGCCTGCACCCCAGCCAGTGGTCTAACTCGGGGACATCGCAGCACCTACCCTGTTCCCAGCTGGGCAAGAAGGCCATGCCCCTGGGGCACCGGCGTGGCTCGGTCTGTTAAGCCGACATCAGCTCAGGTCATGATCTCCTGGTCCATGGATTCAAGCCCCACGTCAGGGCCCTGTGTGGACAGCTCAGAGCCTGGAGCTGCTTCCGATTCTGCGTCTCCCTCTCTCTGACCCTCCCCGACTCATGCTCTATCACTCTCTCTCAAAAATGAATAGACATTAGGGGCGCCTGGGTGGCTTAGTCGGTTAAGCGTCCAACTTTCACTCAGGTCATGATCTCGCGGCTCGTGGGTTCAAGCCCCGTGTCAGGCTCTGTGCTGACTGCCAGCTCAGAGCCTGGAACCTGTTTCAGAGTCTGTGACTCCCTCTCTCTCTGACCCTCCCCTGCTCATGCTGTCTCTCTCTCTCATAGAAATAAATAAAACATTAAAAAAAAATTAAAAAAAATAAATAAATAAATAAAAATGAATAGACATTAAAAAAAAAAAGGCCACGCCCCTGAGGCTTCCCAGAGGTACAGGGACAACCAGGAAAGTGGTGCACAGACCCAGGAGCAGGGACAGAGGACCCAGCCCCAAGGCCAGGCCCCTCCTGCTGCGTCCCCTTGCCCCTCCTCGCTCACACATTAACCTTCACAGGCGCACGCAGGCACACAACGTTCGTGCACATGGACACACGCGCAATGAGATCCACCCCACGCAGGGCCTGTGTGAGCTGCCGCTGGGCTTGGCCAGGGCGTCACTGATAAATGAATAACTAGTAACGCCTGGTGCCCGCTGGGAAAGGATGTAGGCGGAGGGACCAGAACTGTAAATGCCAGAATGAAGGAAACACAGCAAGGGGCAGAGGTGAGACAGCAAAAGGAAGACTGGGAGAACGGGGAGCACAGAAAAGACCTAGAGCGAGAGCCAGAGGCCCGGCCCTGAGTCGGAACCATCAAGAACTTTCTGGATGTGCCTGTGTGCCTACTGCCCCCGCCCTCAGGCAGCATCCAGGCACAGACAGCAACATGCACGCACGTGTGAGCACATGCATGCTCACACACACACCAAGGGGGAGAGAGAGCGGTGCATCTTTGACCAAAGTGGTGGAGAGTGTTGCCTTCTGAGCACAAGCCTTGGAGGAAGCCTCAGTAGAAACCAAGGTCACCTTTAATGTGCTTTTGGGCTCCTACTGGGCTAACGAAATTTGAGAATCCTCAGAAATTCAAATCACCTGTTCCCTGAGGTTCAGCTTTGGGAGGACTGGGGAGACACATTTTCTGGATCCAGGACTGGCACTTGTCCCCATCGCCCCTCCCTCTGTGCAGAAAACACAAACCCAGAAGGAGCCACGCCGCCCCTCTGAGGCTTACGCACTTGTGCCAAGCGTTTCCAGGCTTGTACGAGCGCCCCAGCAGTCCTGGCCCCCTCGCGCACCCCCATGGGCCACCCACGCCGGGTTTCGCGTCACCCGCGGACACCTGCCTTCTCCTCCTGCTGGCCTTGCTGTCGCCAGCTGGTCCAGGTGAACTGAGGCATCAGCCTGAGTGCCTCGGGTAATAGCTTCCAGGAGAGAAGCCCCAGACGAAACGCCACAGAATATAAATCCTAGAAAGTCTCCTCTCTGTGACCAGCAGGACTTTTTTTCTGAGGGCTCCAACCCCGGAAGGAATTGAGGACAGTTTTCTTAAAGGCTAACACTCAGGTGTCAGGTACTGTCCTGTGGACTTTATACATACTGACCCATTCAAAGGTATTATCACTGGCCCCATTTTAGAGATAAGCAACGTGAGGCAGAGAGAAGTTAGGTAAGTGGCCCAACAGCACACAGCTAATAAGTGATTCAAACCCTGTCTGGGTCTGGGCTCTTAACCATCGCATCAAACTGCCTCTTCATCATGTTTTCGTTGAAAGTGAGGACACTAACAGAGCCTGGCTTGACCCCAGCCAGGAGCAACTCTCCCAAGCCTCTGGGGCCCTGAAGCAGCCGCGGAGACTCCTCTAGTTTGGGGGTGTGAACCTCAAAGCAGCCACCCTCAAAGTGGCAGGAATGATACAGCCAAGTGGCCCGAGAAACCAACACCAACTCACCAAGACTCGTCAGCCCCCCTGCAGAAGTTTGGCTGGAGCCCTCTGTCAGCTCCCCTTCCCCACACCCCCACCCCAGCCTCTCAAGGGGGAGAGGCAGACAGAGTAGGGCAAGGGAGGGAGGCTGCACCCTGGGCTCCCACTTACTTGAAGAAGTCTTCCTTGCAGTAGACGCTCCCGGCCCTGGAGAAGCACCTGTCCGCCAGCTGCATCTGGCAGTCTGCACACTTGAGGCAAGAGCTGTGCCAGTGTCTGTCCAGGACCTTCAGGATGAACTTGTCCAGGATGTGCTGGTTGCAGCCGGCACACTGAGGGATCTCTGTGGGCAGAGGAGAGACAGGCAGAGTGAGCCTTCCACACAGCACTGCTAAGCGGACCAGATCCTGTGTGGATGCCTTCTGCTCGTCACGACTCCTTTCCCACTAGAGGGAAAGGACAGAACCCAACCGCTTGGGGCCGTCGCAAATGATTGTGCAGGTTGTACACCACACAGAGGTCGCTGGTCAAGGAGGCACGTGGGAAGTGAAATCCAACCTGCCCTGTGTTTCCCATTAGGAGGTGGGATCTTCCAGGGGCCAGAATAGTGTTTCTTTTGCAGCTCCGTCTCCCAGCCACCTAGCACAGTGCCTGGCACGCACGAGTAGCTCCACAGATACATATCGCTGTATAAATATTTGAGCAAATCCTTTCTAAGAAGCTGACCTCAACACAGGTCACCTGCTTCTCCTGTGCACTCCAAAATACCAACAGAAGTAGGAAAACCAAGTCTCTCAGGAATCCTACGTGTTTCTTGATTCATATCATGTTTGTTGATGTGATATGATTTTAAAGTGTTAACGTAAGGGAATTGGCCTCAAAGCACAGGGGACAAAGTGTGAACACATCTAGGTAGAAAGAAAGCTCTCTCAAGTTCTAAGTCATTTGTATCTCAGACCTGTAGACAGCCTATGGGGACACTCACTACATGACACCACTTGTGTCAGACACACAAATGTCAGTGTTGGGCACAGTAACCCCAAAACCAGCCTGCTCCCCTTTATGGCCTCAGCAGCTACCAGCATTTGTCTGAAAAACCCACTAGCGGCCTTGCCCTTTGACCCCATTCTCAGACCAAAACGCCCCATGGAAACTACAAGAACCACAGTGAGACAGAGATGCAGGGGTCTGAATATTTGCTACCCGCCCAGGGCATGTGGCATTCTTTTCTATCTCCGAAGTTTTCCTCGTTGACAAAGAAAATGTTCACCCAACCAGCTACCAAGTTACTTACCGAACAGTTCTGATGTGCCCAGCAAGGTACTAAGCACATGACAGCAACAGGAATTTCTACCAAATAAGGGGGGATGGGTAGGACACAGGTTGGGACCGCGGGTTCTTGAGCCAGCCTCCTGGGTTTGAATCCTGGCTCTGCTTTTTAGCGGGCAAATCACTTGGCCTCTCCCTGCCCAGTTCTCTCATCTGTAACAAGGGTGGGGGAGGGGGAGGTGATGAAGACAGAAGTCCCTGGTAGGAGGGTTGTGAAGGGTAAGTGAATCAATACCATAGGACAAGGCCAGTATCCAGTAGGTGCTCAATAAAGGTTTGCTGCTATTAGGAGACAATCGCAGTAAGAGTGTTCCCTGTGGCGCTGCTGCGGCTGTGGGGAAGGAACGTTAGGGACCCACGTTCATGGGCTTGATCTCATTGATCAAGGATCTGCACAGCTGTCCCCAGGCTCCTGTGGAGGCTCATTTGTGCCCACATGACAGGCAGCCGCGCCAAGGCGGGGAAGGGGGGTGATGCCTGTCTGTCTGCAGGTAGTGCTCCTCCGACTACAACTACACCCCTACCTCTCTCGGGGACCATCTGGACTGACGTCCCTGGAGCAGCAGGGAAGAGGTCTGAGAGCAAGGGGCCTTAGCAGCGTAGACATCTGGATAAGCAGAAGGGAGACTCTGAGGGGCGAGGGCTGCACACCCGGGGACTCCCGCGGTGTGACAAGGCCAGCCTGCGGGGGTGGGGGAGGGGGACAACTCGTGTAAAGGGGCTCCTAAACGGCCCGGGGCGCGGGTTCTCCTGCCTGCGCGTTCTCACTTGGAGCCGCGCAGCCGCCAAGCCAGGGCTGCAGGAAGGCGGTGTGGAGCCGCGTTGCTCTGGCACCATTTTTCACGCGACCGGAGAGAAGGCCGAAGCTCCCTCCCCACCCCCCACCCCCACCCCAGGCGCAGGGACCTGGCTTGCAGATCGGCAGGAACGCGCGCGCACCAGCCCTTCCCAGGTCCCAGACCGTGTGCAACCGTCTGCCGCCCGGGGCCATCGGGGACGCGGCGACACGGCCCGCTAGGGGCATCTCTGTGAGCGAACGAACGGCTGAGTCCGAGGGCCGGGGGGCCCGCCCGTGGAGGCAGATGAGCCCTCGGAGAACCCGGACGGAGACGCGTCCCCCGGGCGCGGGGCGTGCGTCCGCCGCTCGCTCCCGCACCCGCCCCGCTCCCGGGCCAGAGGGCGCCCATTCCCACCTAATTGTTGTCTGGCCTTGCCTCGGGGAAAGCTGCGGCTATATTTCTCCTCCCGGCCGCAAATGCATGGGAATGAGGGCGAGGATGTGTGCTCATAAAATTTATTTCGAGCTAGGTATCTACCGGGAGGCTTAATATGATGAGTATTCAAGAGAGAATACATTAAGGCTAATGTATGCAGGGCAGGGCGGGCAGGGGAGTTTTAGAGGCTTGGGAACGGAAACAACAGCCCGCTTAGGAACAACACTAAAAGCAGACAGACGAGCCATTTCAGCCTCCAGCTTGCAGGGAGGCTTCCTGCCAGGTCCAAACGCGCTGCCCAGACTCGGGGTTCTCAGCGGCCTTGGGACCAAACTGGGGTCCTCGAGTCTGGCAAAAATGTGAGGGCCACACTAAGGAGACTTTTTAAGTTAAAAATAAAGAAAGAAAACATTTCCCATTGTATTCCAATGTAGATTTTGAGAAGGGAGTGGCATTTTTAAAAACAATAGCAACATAGAAATGATTGAAGAGATCCACAATATACCAGTAATGGTAACACCAGACATCAAGAGCCTGTCGTGAACTCTGCCAGGTCCTGGGGGCATATCACCTCAATAATTCGTACAACTTGGTGAGGAAGGTGTTCGTATCCCCATTTTACAGATGACAAAACTGAGCCTCGGAGAGGTGAAGCAAAGTGCCCAAGGTCCCACAATGGGGAAAGAGGGATTTGAACCAAGAACCTATGCTTAAGGTAGGCTAGACTCAACCTGAGAGCCGGAAGGATCTGGACATCCATCACCTGGCTGGCTCTCTACCCTGTCATTTTATGGAGGGAAAGTGGAGGCGGAGAGGTAGTCTCAAAGCTGCTCTGCATATGGTGACAAGGGAGTAGATGAGCCGCTGGCTTCTGTTGCTCCTTAACAATTGGGCAAACGGAAATGTTTGAGACATAGATTTAGATACTTTGGACAGAGGATGCATGTGTTGTACGGGACGGATACCGAATGCCCAGAGGGTGGGAAGCGGGCGCCCCTGTCCTTCTAATCCCCTCCACCCAGCTGCACGGTGCCAGCTTGTTGAAGGCATCTGTCAAGTTCAGATTCATCCCTGCCTGTGAGGGGGTGGAGACTTGTGAACTCAGAGCCCACCCTTCAGGTGACAGCACTCCATGTAATTATTTTGATTAGTATGAAATGTAAGGTATCTAGAAATTTTCCCAGGAGCAACAACACAAGCTTTTTAAAAAAACCTACAATAAATTATAATTTTTAAATTCAGAGGGCCTGAACAGGACAGAGATCATATAGGTCTCATACCAGAAATTAAGTTGTAACCAAAATTTCCAAGGAGCCAGAAGACTTCCAAATCCCCAGTAAACACAACTTATTTTTTATGCCATGTTTGATATCCCAAAATTCCACCTTAAAAACTGGAATTTAAGCAGACCCTTGGAGTCACTAAGACAGAATTTAATCTATAAACAAATCAGTTCCCAATATGAGGAGTCATTTCATTTAAAATGAAAATTTTTATCTTATCCACATGCAAGTGTTCTTTGGTGATGCTCTCTGCTGGGGCTCTGCAGAGAATAAGCTCGGTCATGAAAAGACAGCAGAGCCCGTGGAAAAGCCAAGGAATCTGGGAGATGCACAATCTGTACAATACACTCCCCATTGGCAGGGCCCAGAATCTTCTGTCAGTCCTGCAGAGTGACATGGCTCAAAGCACAGACCTAAGCACAAGGAGAGCAGCTGTATAGGCAGGCTCACTTGGACACGTGCACTTGTTCCCCATGCACACACCTGCACACACACTCACACAAACACATAAACATAGTCAGACACACATATTCACACATAGTTAACAGTATATACACAGACACACATGACCAAACACATATATGCATACTAACACAATAGAGAAACACACAGAACCACAAATGAACAAAGATACACCCTGAGACACACACAAAGGCACCCACACACACCACATTCACATAGACACACAGACATAACACATATTTGCATATACTTAGATGCACACTTTTAACACACACACTCGTAGGTACACAAGCACACATATACCACAGTACTTACACAGAGTCACACACACACATAAACATGCACACACACACACATCCTCATGCACAGGCTGAGGCATCGCCGTACTGAGGGAAAAAAACCAGTTCTTCTGAAGTCGAGCTCCGTTTCTAAAAAGAAAGGCTGACTAAGGGAGCTGTCCAACCTCGAGGCAGTGGGGAAAGTGGGCACTGAGTGATACAGAAAGCTGGGGCAAAGTAGAAACGTTTTGTTCAACTACTCTTTTAGAAAACTATTGGGAGAATTTGAAAGTTTTCAGTTCTGCTTGGAGTTCAGATCTTCACATCTTTGGGTCTGCCAAACTGTTTATAATAAATCCCAGATCAGAGTCTGCTAGACCTGGGTTCAGATCTGACTCTCCCAAGTATATGATCTTGGACAAACTGCTTACAGTCTTTGAGCCCCTGACCTAGAAAACAGAGATGATAACCCCATTCTCCCAGGACTGCTGTGTGATCGCTTCAGATAATGAGTATAAGACACCTGGCCTCACAATACCATTGTCCAAGCTCAATGGCAGCTCCCTTTTCCATTCTCCCATGGCCAGCCGCCAACAAGATGAATTTATATACTTAAAGTACATTAAAATTATTTCATGTTTCATTATTTCCCAATATAATCTCCCCCTCCCTCGATACCCTCTCCCCCAACACAAAACACTCAAAAAACTCTCCTCCATCCCCTGAGTTCTAAAGCATCTGGAAGATGTATACCCCTTTTTAATCAACATAATCTCA